CTTTTCATTTCCTTGGCAGGCTCATGGACCTTCTGCATCCGGCTCCTGGCTCGTCACCTGCTCCCATCTCCCCGTGCACCATCACAGGCTTTCTTGTCCCGTCTCCCCACTCCTCTCCATGGGACTTATTTTCACAAAAATATAAATCTGGTTGACTGTTAATATTTCACGTGAGGACCTCCTCTCATCCAACCTGCAGCCTCCCATAACAAAATTGATGAGACAATTCATCTTTTAATCATCTCCTCTGTAAAATTTGCATTTTCTACCCTCCCAGACTTTGGTGCCAAATTGTTCCCAGTATAGTGTCTTTTGCTTTGTCCATCTTTTTTATATATCAGGAAAGCATAAAGCATCTCCTCCTTCTGCTCTGAAAGACAGTTTTATAGACTAACAGTTGGCATTTCCAACTGATTAGACAGACAGACAGATAAGTAAGATCAACCAAGATGTCTCACACTAAGAAAGTGCTCCTAGCATTCAAGTTTACATTTTTTTTCCATTTTATTTATCTTATTTTAATTTGAAATTAACCAGCTGCATCATGTTAAAGATTCCTATTCCTTCACAGCTGCTAACTTTCTTTTAACTAGATATTGTAAACTTTTCTCTAATGCTGGAATTGAACGAACCAGATACACAGTGATGGATATGACACTAAATTGGAAAATTTGAAAAATTTCAATTCAGATACACCTGAAACACTTTCGAGCCCCACATTTTCATTTTATGCCAAATTAAGGCTACTTAATTTTTTTAATTTTGAAATTAAATTAACTTGGAGATTCAAATATTGAAGTGATTGATTTCAAAAAGATTGAAACAACTCTTCTGATATTCCCTCCATATTTTTTCTATGAAATTGTCTGCCAGATTGCACTTGGCTACGTGAGTAACTGTGGTTCTCTCAAAAGCACATTTTTAAAACTTAAATTACTGCACGCAGAGGAACCATGCCCAGATCTACCTGGAATTTCCTTGCCCGCAATGCACACTATCCCTCCGGCAGTGACAAGCTTAATTAATATTCCTTTCTACCCCCATCCACCCCTCACCTCCCAAACGGCCCCTGTCAAAACACAGGCTGGAGGTGTAAAGAACATGCAGCAGCCCCTCAACACTGCACAATGCGGGGGGAGCCTTCCCTTGGGTCAGAATTTACTAAGCTCCTTTTAAAGAAATAACAATTTCAAAGCTATTTAGAGCCACGTTCGATTTGAAAGAAAACACATGTAGGGGTGGCTTGCCTGGCTCAAGAACTGGCCTCAGGTACATTCACAGAAAGGCTGCAACCTCAGTCCAAAGACATGTCTATGGAAGTAGAGTTTGGAGGCAGGATTGGACCCACCTTGTGTTTCTTAGAGGCGTTGCCTTTCCCCAGCTACAGGGGAAGTTCTGGTAACACCAGCTCACCTCCTCAGAGCTACGGCTTGGATATCCCCCCTTTTGGTGACTATTTTTCCATCCCTCAGGTTTCCGAGGACCCTCCCCAGCAAGTCTTCCCACCGTGGGGCAGAGAACTGGGCGATCCAGCGCACAAATGGGATGGAGGGAAAGCCAGAACCGAGCCGCGGCTTCGCCTCAGTCTCTGGAACAGCCGGAGGCAGCTAACACCAACGTAGCTGCTGCCGCAGTCAGGAAGGAGGTAAATGAATGATTTACTGCATCAGTAATGGCAATTTTCTATAACTGACCTTTCTGAGGTTATCCAAAATGGGTTAAAACCAAAAAGGATCACATGAATATGTTTAACTAATATACTTTAAGGCTATTATGCAGACACAGCTTGTTTTAAATACATCCCCTTCCACGGTAAACATCTGTTTTTATAAGGACAGGAAGAACAATTACATCATCCAGCCTTACTTCCTCTATAACACAAGCCTTTCTCAGTCAGACATTCCTGCGATTAACTAAGATTGCATTTAATTAAAATGCATCTTTTGAGAAGCTGCCCGTTCTTTATTTGAAAACTTCAAAGGATGCAGGAGCTACCTCGGTAGTTTGCCCTGATTCATGTTAGAGTGTCACCTGCCTTGCCTACACAGAAGAGTTTCAAAATACTCCAGAGTCTGATCACCTCAGGAGTTGCCAACAAACTTCCACGCCCTGCCATAGCGAGGGAGAGGGAAGCATAGAGAGCCAGAGTCCTCACGTCATCTACTGCCCAGACCAGATCGCGCTACAAGAGGTCTCAAGGTTTGCCTGAGAGCACATGGTGGTGCCCAAGTTGCTCATCACAATGGTCATGCGGGAAGGTTGTCCCCAAGGGGGTACTAGGTGACAAGGTTTCAGTTAAGAGTTTCTAAACTCCTCTTCCTCAGCCCCATGGCTGTGCCACAACCCCTCCACATCTCGGCAAAGGGGGCAGATTATTACTTGCTTGGTGGATCGATTATTTCTAAAGTGCACCAAGACGTATGGCTCTGAATGTTGCTAAAAAGGTCACTGAGAGGTCCGTCCCAGCCCCTTATCTGAGACTGTAGCCGGGGAAAGTTCTCAGCACGGGAGAGCTTGCATCTCATCTGCTGCCAAAGTTACCTGGAGCTGGCTGGCTACACGCAGACACGGCACAAAGCTGGAGAGATGAAACGCAGCCAGACCACTGCGGCTGAAGTACCCTGTGACATGGATCTCAAACGGCAAACAACACTTTGCCACCGAAGAGCTAGCAATCCCTCTTCCCGTCATACCTCATTAGCGATGAAACATCAGCAAGGCCACTGAGGAATATTTCCAAACATGAAAGACCCTGTTCACTGCAGAAGAGTTGTGGGAGGAGAAAACAGTCAGGGTGATGGATCAAACCCACAAAAACAGGAAAGCAGGTGTGTGTGCAGAGCACAGCTCATTTAGCAGTGTCTCTGGCACAGGGATGGAGAGCGCTGCCTTTCTGCACCAGCCGGTCCCACCAACATGATGAGCCACCACGGTCTGCTTCACACGCAGGCTGAAACAATGCACATTTTCCTCTCTATCCGATAAGGGAGACGTTGTCCTACTCCTGTCCCAAGGTCAATGCAAACACCAGGAAACTGGAAGGCAATGGCCGTTTTTACGACGGAGCTCGGCATCCCTGGCAGCCGAGCACCGACCCTGACACTAACCCACCTCTGCTGCTCCCGCCATAAAACCTGCCTCCAGCGCACACACTTCTTAGGTCCAGTCCCTCTCGCCAAAACACCCACTTTCTGTGACATAGCCCGGAGGTGTCTCTGCTGCATACATACTCCTGGCCACAGCAGAAACAGGACCTTGCATCAGCTTGACCTGTGTCATGGTCCCGAAACGCTAGGTCAGCAGGGTTCCACCACACCAACAGATGGGTGCAAATGCTCATGTGGATAAGCTTAGGTCCCCAAGTGCTTCCCAGGGACAGGGCAGTTCCAGACTGGGAGGAAGACACTTCATTTTAATTTTTTTCTACAGCTTTGTCCCAACAGCTACCAGCCCCCTAAGGCAGGTCCGTGGGTTCCTGCTTTACCCTCCCCGCACCCGATGCTCAAATTTCTTTGCATTCTCAGCTTGTCTGAGGGGCCAGCACATGGAAAGCCTAAGGTATGGGATGAATTTCACAGGTAGCCAGCACAGCTGCTCCCAGAGAGATTTGGTCCAATACGACTAAGATAAACACTTTCTAAATCTTTTTTCTAACAGGTTAAAACCCTCCTGCTGCAGCCTGTGAAGAGGCTGTGACAGGACGTGGGAGAATCCAGCAGCCGACACGGCTGCTTTCAGCGTGCAAGCTGAACAAAACACAGAAGGTGAAGAAACCATCTAAATAATGAGGGAAAGTGCATTAGGTCAGTACAACTCATTCTAACTAAGTGTAATTAGCAGGAGAAGGATGAAGAATTAGCTCACCAATATTCTTTCACAATGTCCTTTCAAGCTTTTAGGGACATTTAATTTTGTGGAAAAGTTTCAACCAATATGAATATGCCAAATATAATCTTCAGTGTCCTTACCTACTTGTACAAGCAACCTGAGTCACATGCTGCTTGGGAGTCTCATAAATTTATATTATAAACCCAGTTAAATCTATGCATAGAAAGTAATAAACATGACACCCAAGGAAATGTTCGTTCTGGGCAACTTGGCAGTTCAGGGAGTTGCAGGTTTTTTAACCTTAAAGATGTACCTGGTAGAAATCCATTCATGTACTCACTTGTCCTCCTAGTAATGTCTTAAATTATTTAGAACTCAACTGTAACAATATTTTTTTTTAATTGATGCTCTTCCTTAGTGTTTCTTCATTTCACATGTAGAGGTTTGTTTAAATAAAGTACAACTATTTCTATTTAAATTTTAAAATCATTATAAAAATCTTTCTTTTCATACTAGTTTTAGTAAACTATTCCCCTCTTTAGAGCTGGGGATGGTTTTCTGACAAATAACCATGTTTGCTAAAAATGCAGTTGTAGAGAATTCAGGGCCAAAATTATTTGAAAATTCAGCTAGGTCTTGATAATTACTTTGATAAAAACCAGTAACACTTTGGAAATGCTGCAAGTTCTGATTAGGCAATTTCCAGAATAAAAAGCAACTTTAAGCTGCAGAACATTTTAGTTTAGAAATTTCAAAAAATTAATCAAAAGTGCTTCATGTGACTCTAAGCCAAAGTTGTTCCTTTTTGCAGCTTACTTCAGTTCGCTTAGAAAACTGACCATTTTACTTTCTGCAATCAACTTAAGGTGACATTTTTTTTGTCCAATTTTCTGAGCTGAACAACGAGCCAGTTACGTACATAATCGCTCACAATTTTCTGAGCAAAATTAAAATGAAGAGTCCGGACTGTACGTTGGCACCGTGGTGGGACACTGTGCCTGAATATCCCAACATCCCAAAGACAGTCGGCACCAGTGCGTGTACATACTGGTACTGTTCTTCCTTCAGAGATACTAAAATCCAATTTCTAAAGACCCGCTGAATCGAAGCATTTAATCGAAGCATTTGATCTCAGAGAGAAAGTGTCTCCCCAATTAAATTTTGATCAGTGCAACTCTCAAAGCACCCCCCTATGAATACAAAGTGGTTGCAGCAAAGAGATTTCCAGTCAAGCCTGTGAAGAGAAACAACTGGTGCTGCTCCCAGCCAACATACTCACCAATAATTCCTTGGGAGATACCTCACTACTACTTCTTTACAAAGAGGACTAAACAGAAAGCACACGGCCACACAAAATTGACTTCTCCATGTCGACATAAAACCCCTCCCCCTTCTATAACGCACGTGAGCCCGTAATGGCATTCAGCAACCATGCATAGCGTGAAGAGATTTCATCCGGAGCATCGGGAGAGTACATGGATCCTTCTAGTAGAGCCCAGGAGGTATGGCAGGAGTGACAGTGAATACCACAGGTACCTCTTCCTGTATTTGAGTGTCCGTTCGCTTTGATGTGGGTTGTGTCTTTGTGTTCTGGATGGGAATTGTGTGCTGGTATGGCAACACCAGGAGCAAAGTGTTTCTTGACTGCTGGAGCTCCTCAGGCCTGGAAGCCAAAAGCTGATGCTCGCTCTCTGAGCAGCTCCCGGCACAAATGACAACTCCAGCTCCCTGCAAATGAAGAAATCCTTCTTATAGGAATGACATCAAATCCAGGCACTCAGAATTTATGTCAAGATGAGCTTGAATGAGATATCAAATACTCCTGACACTGGAAGAGCCTGTATTTTTCTGAAGCAGGCTCTGCTTGCCCTTGGTGTACACAGGATTACTACACAAGTTACAACTCAGCTTGGGTGTGCATTGCCAGTAAGTGTTTTATATGTTTGTACTTTCAGTACACCAATTCCCAGTCAAATAGAAACCTTTAGCTAATTATTAGCTGCATTTCAAAATTTTCCCCTCTGGATTTAGTTTCCTCTTTATCAAAGTTACAAACATTTAGCTCCTAAATGCATGATTGATTTGTAATTATTCCTGTCTCGCCCCTCACGTAAGCCACAGTCATTTGCGCTTGCGTGTCTCCTGCTCCAATTCTACTGCTCTCTGCAGATTTTAGTCAGAGAATCAATACTGGTAAGAGACTAGTTCCTCTGCTCCACAACCAAGTGACAAACTATGACCAGTTGCAGTATGGTCAGATTGAATGCCCTGCAGAGGACACAAATACATACCAAATGCAACACAGATCGTAAATCTCTCACCCTTCTGAGGCACAGACAGACCAGAGAAGAAGGAAGGTAATTCCTTTTAATCCAGTCTCCTGACAATAGGCTCTCAGATATTCCAGAGAGGAGCTCCCTGCCTGGGGCTTTCTCCCTGGGACTTGACTTCTTAGGAAGTCCAAAGTCACAGTTCACAGGACCTCAATTCTGTTGACTAAACTGAGGTGTCCAATGCCATCTGGGACATCCAAAGGTACTTATTACCCACAAAAGAACCTTGTTCTGGAAGAGGAGGTAGAGACCAGGCAAGACTGAACAGGACATCTCAGAACACACTAGATCTCCACGTCTATTTTCTTTCCTTCCAGCGTTACCTGCCTCTGCTTTGCTACTGCTTCCTTAAATCTGCATGGCCCAGACCACCTTTCCGAAATTCCTCCCTTCTCCACAAGGACTTTATTGTGATTTTTCAAAGCAGACTTCCAACATATGTTACCTTCTGGGGGCTCAAAGACTGGTGGATTCAAGCAATACATGTGATAGCCACGGTCACAGTCATCACAGAAGAGCAGCTGGTCCTGAGGCAGGGTTGTTGCGGAGACAGTAGGGAAACAGGGAGAGGAGGAGAGGAGAAGAGAGAAAATTGTGTAAATTAGTCTCTTGCCAAGATGAAAACAGAAGCATGGTAACCAGCACTGCTCATCTAGGAGTGCAGAGCTGCAACATAGAGACTAAGAGACTATTGGGAACCTAAAAGCATCATGTTTGTACATCCACAATCAACAACCATATTTCTGAGAGGCCACAGAGTGCCCTTCTCATCACAAAGGCTGTTCAGTTCCTAACTAGAAAATCTCTCTGAGAGGTGGAGAGCTTCCTCTCCAAGGTGGCCTCATGATGCAGGAGGAAAAGCTGTTGGGCCGGCAGTATGTTGTGCTGAGACAAGAGGACAGGTTTTGCTGGGCTCTGGTGTGACCACGTGCCGGACCTCATTCCTTCAGGGGAAACCTTTCTCAACAAAAGCCTGGACTCAGCCAGTTCTCTGAAACTCAGCTGAGTAAACGCTCCATGAAACAGATGGAAATTACACGATCCCACCATGTGGTCTGCAGCTCTTTCACATATTTTGGGGGAAAAAAGCTGCTCTAACATGATTCTTAACAGAGGGCAGCTCCCTGTTTTCAAATTTCCTTATTTACTGCTACAGCAAAACAAAATCTCAGGCTTCTGAAATTTATTCTGCCATAGGGAATGTAGTGTTAGCTAATCGCCTCCAAAGTTCTCCAGCCACAGTCAATTCTCAAAGTTTCTCACTCACTTCTGAGGACCAGATTTGAGCAGAAAACCCCGCAGAGAGGACGCTGCTCTGGATCACAGTTTGGAAACCACTGAGATGGGTGATTAGGCGGCTAGGGAGAGGCCTAGCCATCCCAGTTCAACCGCTTTCATGTTTCCCAAGTCTCATAATGAAATTTTTAAAAAATCCTGCCAAGAAAGTAAGCAAAATCAGAGACAGAAAAAACATACCTGCCATCTCTCAAGATGTCACCCATTCATATCACCTCCTGACTACCTTACTGAAAACACTGCTTCTGTGACGGGAGTTTACGCCCTTCAGCTAATTTTTATTGAATAAAACACAAGTGTCTCCAACCTAAGTGGTCCTATACGATACCCATGGTAAGTTCAGCAGAAACCAGCGGCTGAAGCCCATCCCTACTCCCCGGAGACGCAGGGAAGCCACAGTAAAGCCATGCCCCACACCACTGCCATGCACTCCTCAAGGGCGGCAGGGCCCTAGCTTGCAAGTGACGCTTATTTGCATGAAAAGGTAAAAGAACTCACATCGTTCTCAGAAGTCCCACAAAGGCTGCAGGATTTGCACTCAATGCACTGCCACTGATAGGTTTTAACAGCCTCAGTCATGTTTGTGGTGAACTGCAGGCAGGTCGGGTGTCCTGAGGAAGATCGGAAACAACCGTCACTGTTAAGGCTCACTTATCGCTGGTTAATTAACCGGTATTTAAGTTTGGGAACAAAACGCACATGGACATGGACTGATCACAACATGGGCTGCAACTAACAGATACCAAAGAGGAAAGCAGGCATTAACCCTTTCGCTGCCGGGCACAAGAGAAAAATCAGTCATCCCCACCCGTTCCCCATTGGCAAAGCAGTTTCATTCAGAGCTCTTAAAAATGGTTTGGCTTTGAGTTTGTTTTTTTGTGGGTTGGTTGGTTTTTTTTGCCTTTTGCCTTTTTTTTCCTCAAAGGAAAACATGAGAAATGGTGACATCAGAGACAAACCCAATTTTAGAGAGACCCCATCCGTCTTAATAGAAATTGAACTAGAGTTTCAATTCGTGTAGTTTTGACTGGACAGAAAGACTTGGTGGAAATGAGGTTATTCTCCATTTCAGAGCTTCCCTTCCTGGTGGCCAAATGGGTGGAGCAATTCTGTAAACTTTGCTTAAATGGAAGCAGCAGCATACAGAGAAGAAGCAAGTCAGGATGGGGGGTAACAGCTTTTAAATTTTTTAAGAGCTCTGCCACTAAAGTTTGTTGGCACAGAAGAAACCAAATTGCACAGCTAACCTTCCAGAATCAAAACAAGAAACCGAAAGGAAAAAAAAACCCAAGCCAACTCCCACAACGCACTAAATGAAAGGAATAAAGAAGGGAAAGCTAGCAGAACAGTCACATCTAATTGGGAAGGACAAATTGCCAGAGTTACAACTCCCGCCCTACATGCGTGTCGACTCCAGCTTTGCAAAACAGCGGTATCACAGTAGCAGGGTCAGCAATGGGCTTTCTGGAGGGGAAGAATACAAACAAACAAACAAACCAAAGGTAGGATCAGTGTTCCTTCTGCAAAACAAAAAAAAAATACACTGCTGAAATAAAGCACTGTACTCCCAAGCCACCCCTATCAGGAGGAGGCAGTCCTAAGTCACCTGCTTGACTTCTCACCCGTAGCATCCCCCTGTGAGCAGTCAGGGCTAGGGGGCAGGGGGCAGGCACAGCCAATTGCTCATCTACGGAGAAACTAGAAATACAGTACCCACACCCAGTGCTCCCGCATGCTGCTCTGGGAACTTACACCGTCAGGCAGGCGGGGTTGCTTCACCTGTGAGCTGATGTTCTCAGGCTGCAGCCAATGGGTAGGAAAAGTCTTTTCCACCTCCACCAGCCTAAGTGGCTTTTTAAGAGCGGAGAAAGAAAGGCTGCTTCTCCAGTAAGAAAAGAAGAAAAGGCATGGCTACTGTAGATGTGGCTATCGATGTGTCATCTTCATTACCAGACCTATCAGCGGTATTTTGCCCTGTCACTGTCCTACAAGAAGCTTCTGGATTTTCTAGCTAGTGAAGCAAACTCTAGCTGAGAATTGATGGGTAAGTTACTAATGCTGTAGGGAGTATAGTTCCTTTATGTGTCGTGATATCACCAAACACTCTAATAAGGATTTTTGTTCCCCAGTTATATTTGCATGGTTGAGATATGAAAACTAAGCCTGTCCAGCAAAGAAATGTGTGTACATAAGTTATTACAGAAATTGAATGAAAATAAAGGAGATATTTAAGGAAGGAGAGATCAATGACATTGTTCATATCACTCTTAAGCCTTTGAACAAAGAAATGTTTTGACAGTACTGACGAGCTCAGATAGGCTAAGAAGATCACCAAGTTTTGGAGCCCTTGAAAGATCAGCACAAAACAAGAGTCAGATTTTAGCAAGACTTACAGTGGACCAAGTCCAAACTGAAGTTCTGGGGACCTTGAAACTGCAACTGTGCGGAAGGAGATGGGACATGATACCTTTGCTTGCTGAGAGGACATCATGTAATTTCTGATATTACCAAACTAGCAGGACCTGACATGACACTGAAATGTTCCTCCAGATCTGATTTACAGCAAACGCAGAACCACATTCCAACACCAGTAAATAGAACAAATGTGCCACACTGCACATCAGGGAGGAATCCATCCCAACAGCAGAGACTCAGCTTCCAGAATGGTTGTGCGGTGCTGGAATCTATCACAGAAAACAACTCATACAGGGAGGCGAGTTAATCAGAGTTAAATAGCTTCAGTCACATTTGAAAAGAAACAGAAAGAATGGAATCAAACATAGAGAAATAAATCACAGCTCAATGCATACACACATTCACGTGCTCACTTGCCTGTGCACACACATTGCTCACTGCAGAGACTCCAGCTAAAGACTCTCCCTTTCTCAAATGACATGAAGGTCAGGGTCTGTTCACTATTTTATCTCTGTCCCTTCGCAGCTGTTCCTGCTCTCTTCCAGCTATCAGTCTTGACTGCCTTGTTCCTCATTTGCCTCAAAAACACCTCTGCAGGTTTTCCGTGCTGCATCTTGTGTATCGATGGTGCCTCATCCTTGAAGTGATCCATCCTGTCTTGCAGAGCCCTTCTTAAGAGCCACACCCACCACAAGTCTAAAAGAGAAGGGCTCTTGCGGCAGAAGGATTGCTTAGAAAATATTAATAGTGGAATGAGGGCCACAGTGGCTTCTTTTTAGTAGCACTGCAGAAACATTTTGCAAAAAATATACCGATTTATCCACTCCATTGGGCTCTCTCCCCAATGCCGTGACTACAAAAGAGTCCAACAAATGCCCACAGCCATGTCTGCATAGCTACAGATTGCTCTCTGTTAGCCCAGGGCTTATGGGCTGTCTACGGGAAAAAGAATATCTTGTGGACATGCCTTTCTTCAGCCTCTAAGCCAGATCCTCTTTCTCATTAAACAACGTGCCTTGTGGTACCACGACCACAACCTAACGTTGTTGGAAAGGCTATTTTTACTTATGCCAGCAGCGTGATGAAGCACTGTAGCATATGGCAAGCGTGTCAGCAGATACTCAGAACATTGAAATTCTTTCTTCCTGCCCTCCCTCCTCTCCCTCTTCACAATCTCTCTATTTTCCTGCTTTGGTTCAAAACCCAGTGTTTTTCATGACCTATGAGAAAATTTACACATCCAAGATTTCCTGAAGCAGCATTGGTGAGCACCATCCCTGCTCAATATCACAGCACTTCCCTCTGTAGTAGAATACTTAGAAGACAAAGCCCTATAGCTGCATATAGGTACCATGTGGGTAGCGGGCTACTATAGGTAGATTCGAATTCCCTTAAAAAAAAAAAAAGAAGGCTAGTTCAGTCCACAAACAAACAATTTTGGTTTTACACAAAGAGCAGCCCAAAAGGTGGTGCAAAGTCACAGATGCTGTGGTAGCACACAAGCCAGAGAGCTGAAAGTCTTTCTTGCTTAATTTCATCACTTATGTGATCAAAATCAAGCAACAGTCTTTGCTAATCTTGGGATAAATGGTCTTTGCTATGGCAAAGGTATGCAGCAAAGAGTCTGCAGCCGAAACTCGGTTAATAATTCAGTTGGTGGCTCAGCCCGGCAAACCCCGGATCACTCTCACATGTCTATATCAGCTCCGCACATCTAACAGGGGGAAGAAGTAACACATATTTATGGTGTCACCGAAGTCAATAGACAGACCTCTAAAACACACCCTGGGAGCAGTTCTGCTGAAGGAGAAGGTGATACGTTAACATCAACAGCTTCTAATCTACCATAACTATTCCCTATCTAAACTTGCGCCTGTGCTGCAAGAGCTATAAACAATGTAGACAACCAAATGCACAGTGAGAAGGTTTCCAACAGCTCATCCCTTTGTCTTAAAGCAATATCTTAAAGTGTAGATCAGGCCCAAAGGCTTCCTCATCGTTGTCGAAAGTCTCCTCTGGATCTGCACCCTGCGACTGAGACCATATTTTACAGCGGCACCCATGTTTCACATGCCACTGGCTTTAATTGCACACTATGTCCACCAGACATCTGGTCAGAGGCTTCAGGGTTGAGCACACTCAGAGACGTTTCTTGTCTCCTGCACCCAGTGCAACTGCAGGCTGACGGTAAGGAGAAGTTTAAAACAAATACCCTAGGAAATAATAATTAAAAAAAATCTTAAAAAATCTCTTCTGCTTACACCAGCTGTATAACACTAAAGACCAAAACTGACATTAAAGGGCAGGAGCAATCTGGTGCTCCCAGGCGCTCTGTGACCAGTGAAGGCCTTAGAATGGCTCATTAGTGCTTCTTCAATAATGGATTCTGCATCGCAAGATTAATTGCAGCCATGTGCTCTGTCACACCCGCCACAGACTATTTAAGTTAACAATCCAATCAATAACCCTTTTTCAAACAAAGGCAGAGAGTATCTTGAGGAAAAAATAAAACAAGCAAAGATTCCTTTTTTAAAAAACAAATGTGAAATTATTTATACAGAGTAAAAGGAATTTTCATCCAGTTTTCAATTCTTTCCCTTATCTTCACTGTGTCGTGGTGGGCTTTTTAATCAATATCCTAATGAAAACCCACAGGGCTCCTGGCTATATCACATGAGAATTTATCCCATAAACTATTTAGGTCTTTAAACAACTACAAATACATATTACAGACATCATGACCTATGTCACAAGAACCCCATCCAAACTACACAAGTTTTGCATGCAAAGAAACTGCAAAAATCTGCTACGATTGAATAAGGCTTGCTGTGACCACTGCTATCATTAGGCAGAATTATTACTGTTATTCATACAAAAGAAGGTAAAAGTAACTTGCAATCCTAACAAGGGACATGCTTTTACAGTTACGATACAAAAACCCAAACACACCAAAAGGCTTGGCTCTGCCAGAATCTTAGGGGTCGAGGAGCTGCAACTCTCAGAAAAAGACCAAACGTTGCTAAGGAATGAGGATGAGGAGCTCTTGACATTTTCCTGGCCCTTCCCAACTTGCAACGCCAAGGCATTACAACGCAGGGACATATGCCTGCCTGCCCAAATTGAGGTCCTCAGAGACAGACGCCATCATAAGTGTTTGTGGGGTGAGGATCCAAGGCACTACCTGCCACAGTACCTC